CTCTTAATGATAAGGGAAATTGGATATAATTTGGATATAATCCCCTTCTGAACTGAGACTCACTTGTGGCAATGGAGCCAGGCAATTTACAAACGTTGTCATTTTTCTGTTGAGGATTTTTAAAAAATCAGAATTGCCAGGCAACAGGGAGTTATTTTGGGTCATTACTTGCTTTTCTGTCATTTGACTCAGAAAGTGGATTTTCCCTGGGTTTGCTTTTTTTCCCCTTTTACTTTCACCTGAATGTTACCTTGTCATCTTCACACGAGAAATATTTTTGTTTGAATGGCTTGTATTCTGGCTCCCAGGGTGGTCTGCCTTTTTGAACTATTCTTATTCGTCTTTATCAGCATACATAGATAGCATGAATGTTAGAAGGCCAAGTGGTTTGTTACAAATGGTTTCCACACATTCCATGTAGCTTTTACCGTGAATGGAATACTCCTTGTGGAATATTGAAAAGGGAAGGAGAGGTTCTAAGGCTCCAAGATATTCTGAAATTAAACTTTATAATTTAACAATAGTCCCTCAGTTGGCAATAGTTTTCAAATGCTGCATGTGTGAATAATTGTATATTTGATATAACTTCAGACCTCAGTAACTTAACAGCATCCATGTGGAGATTTGACTGCATCCTGCAAAATCAAATGCCCATTTTTCTATGGGCAATTTCATAGTTCCTTTGCTCCTCTTGTAGGACAGAGGTGAGCATTTTATACTCAGAATGACCTGGAGCCCCTGAATCTTCTTGTCACTTTCCTGGTGCCCATTTGGATCAAGACAACTGAAAACTGAGGGTCCTGTTTTCCCATCCCTTTGAGACGGTGGACAGATGAAAGCTAGAACTCTGCAATTAAAAACAATGTAATGAGCTGCGAGAAAAACCTTGGGAGACAGGCTCTTAGCCTCGACTACCATATGATAAGAGACATCCAAAAGCCCTTTCAGGCTTGAGAATTCTGTATTATACTAAGGTAGTATTAATACTCATGGTTTGTCTGGACAATCTCAAAAGGGCTGATAGCAAGGGTGGGATTCAAATTTTTTAACAACCGGTTCTGTGGGCGTGGCTTGGTGGGAGTGGCTTGGTGGTCATGTGACTGGGTGGACGTGGCTTGGTGCTCATGTTATTGACTGGGCGTGGCCAACTCAATATCACTCACACTGAGGCACGCATCTCCTCGTCTGGCCTCTCATGACTGTGGGGATGCTGCAACAGTCGTAAGTGTGAAAAATGGTCATAAGACACTTTTTTCAGTGCCATTGTAACTTTAAATGGTCACTCCGCACAAGCAAAGTACCAGCAAAGGAAGGGAAAAAAACTCCAGAGAAGTTCCTGAGACAGGAAGTCTAGTCCTGCCAAGAATGTAATAAGGGTTAATGGAGAGGCAGTTTCTGTAAGCAACACCAGAATGTTTCCTTCCTGCCTTCCTTACAGGATTAGGCCAGTAATTTCTTCTGACAACCAGTTCTCTGAACTGTTTAGAATGTTAACAACCGGTTCTAGCGAATAGGTGCGAACTGGTAGAATCCCACCCCTGGCTGATAGACTCACCCAATTCCTCCCCAACCTTCCCTGTGTGATAACCCTACCCACTTTGCATCTCTCTTCCTCCCTCCCCCTTATTAATGTACCTCTTGGGCACCAAAAGGTTCCCCACTAAAGCAACAGAAGATGATGCAATATTTTGTGCTAAGACATTAATATTTTCCCACTCTTTAAAATGCAACAGATGATGCCTGGGCAGTCTTTTCCCGTTCCTACTGCTCTTTTCTTTTGGGAAAATACCAAGCAGATGCACACAACTTGCAATAAAGATTGGTGGAAGTAGAAGAAAATTAACTGAATGCCACTATAGCAGTCTCCAACCGGTCAGATGGAGGGAGCAAAGATTGATTTATGGTATTCTCAGCACTTAAGAGCTTTGAAAATCATCAGATGTGGGTTGGGTTGTTTGGGGGGGGAAAAAGGGAACTGGAAATTGGGATACTTGTTGGTGACCGTAGCTGCTTCTTAAAAACCCTGGCCTCTCATGGAACTTGTAACATAAATGTCAAATTATAAAAGCATGTTAAAATATGTAAACTAACCAAAGATGAACCCATAATAATGAAATCAAAATGAAGACAACCAACTGATCATGACACACAGTAATTAGGTTGACATTTCAATAGTTAAAAAAGTTAATTTGGCCTGAAGTACAGGGGCAATTAAAATAAGTCACAAAAATAACAACATAAAGAATTGATCCTGAAAGTTATGTTGAAGTTCCTGAATAAGTAAAAATAGATATTTCCACATAGATTCATGGAAAAATAAACAAAATAGGTGCGGTAGATAGGTAAGGGTTTTTATAGGAATATTTCCAATAATAAGTTATAATTATCAGGAAATAAAAAGATCTAGTACAGACACAATTCCTAAGAACTTTTTTTATCATAAATATTCTCAGTTTATCTGAATACTCTCTGCTTACATTCAGTTAAATCTACAATATTTGAAAACTGTACAGTAGTTTATTTAATTAATTTTAAGTGCTGCTTTTGTACAAGCGACATCAAATTTAAATTCTTATTTTGCAATTATTTTGCAATCCACAAGGACAAGTATGAGGTACAGGCCATATTTACATGGACTAATGCCAGAGATCAGCTTAGTAAGCCAGAAAAATAAATGATAGTAGACCCAGCTTGCATTTGAATCTCTTTGATTCCTGCTTATTGCCAACTGGCCTCCATCCAAGGTGCTTTCTAGGTATGCTAATGTATAGACATGGAAGTGATTGTATTTATAAACGGCATAGCTATTTCCTGAGTGACTTGCCAGAAAAAAACAAAAAACTACTTTTACAGGATCAGTTATGTATGATTGATTGTTGCAAATGAGAAAACAGAAAAAAAAACCATATTATTTGCTGTATTCAGACATGCCACTGGTTTCTTTTTTCCTGATGTCTATGTTCACAAGTCACATAAACCTTTTTTTTTTTTTTTTTACAATAATAAAGAAAACAGTTCCTTCCTATTCTTTCCCATGTTTGATCTGATATTCACAACAAGATATTCTGGACAAGGTTGGATTGTTTTATTATCTAAACCCAACAAACTGTGGTTAAACTTAACCACAGTAAAGCTATTCTTTGACGTACAACAGCAATTGGCACTGGAATTTGGAGATACATTGTAGTAGTTGTAACTAATGACCAAATTTGTGACAGATTTTTTTTATACAGTGGATGTAAATAAAAGGCACTCTCCCAAATGACCAGGTTTTAGCAGAAACCAGCAAAAAATCTAGAAGCCAGCTCTCTCTACATATATATCTCAAATAATGACCACATGACCATGGTAAACTTCACCAATTGTAAATGTGAGCTGGTTGCCAAGTGCCCAAAATATGGGCGGGGAGGCAACGCAACATTTTAAGACAACCAGAAATGCTCTATAGGCCATAAGGCATCCTTCCCAAAGCTGTCATGACTCGGAATGGTCTTTAAACAATTGATGACAAGTTGAGGACTATCGGTAGTCCTCTACTTACAACCACTTACAACCAAGTGATTATTAAGCAAATGACTGAGGTTGTTAAATAACTTACCAATGGTTAAGTGAATCCACTTTCTCCCATTGACTTTGCTTGTCAGAAACTGGCTGGGAAGGTCGCAAAGGACAATCTCAAGACCCTGGGAGTCTGACTGTTGTAAATACAGGTAGTCTTCAACTTACGACCACAATGGAGCCCAAAATTTATGTTGTTAAGTGAAACATTTGTTGAGTTTTGCCCCATTTTACACCATTTTTTGCCACATTTGTTAAGTGAATCACTGCAGTTGTTAAATTAGTAAATTTAACAAAATGAAATTCAATGTAGAGAAAAGTCCTACACAGGCAAGAAAAACCAAAAGTACACATATAGATTGGATGAAACCAGGCTAAACAGCAGTAACTGTGAGAGGGATCTTGGAGTCTTGGTGGACAACCAGCTAAATATGAGCCAGCAGTGTGCAGCAGCAGCCAAAAAAGCTAATGCAATCCTAAGTTGTATTAACAGAGGGATACAGTCAAGATCAAGGGAAGTACTAATAGGGAAATATTAACAGAGGGATACGGTCAAGATCAAGGGAAGTACTAACTCTAAAAAGCCTTAGTAAGACCACACCTAGAATACTGCATCCAGTTTTGGTCACACTATAAAAAAGATGTTGAGACTCTAGAAAGAGTACAGAGCAAAGCAACCAGGATGATTAGGGGACTGGAAGCTAAAACATATGAAGAACGGTTGCAGGAACTGGGCTTGGCTAGTCTAGTGAAGAGAAGGACCAGGGGAGACATGATAGCAGTCTTCCAATATTTGAGGGGCTGTCACAGAGAGGAAGGATTCGAGCTATTTTCTAAAGCGCCTGTAGGCCAGACAAGGAATAATGGATGGAAACTGAACAAGGAGAGATTCAACCTGGAAATAAGGAGAAACTTTCTGACAGTGAGAACAATCAACCAATGGAACAGCTTTCCCTCGGAAGTTGTGGGAGCGTCAAAACTTGAGACTTTCCAGAAGAGATTGGACTGCCATTTGTCAGAAATGGTGTAGGGTCTCCTGCTTGGGCAGGGGGTTGGACTAGTTGACTTACAAGGTCCCTTCCAACTCTGATTATCTGTTACATGTTAGTTAACATGGTTGTTAAGTGAATCTGGTTTCCCTATTGACTTTGCTTGTCAGAAGGTCACAAAATGACTCCTGAACTCTGCAATCGTCATAAAGATGAGTCGGTTATCAAGCATCTGAAGGTAAATCACGTGACCATTGGGATGCTGCAATGGTCGTAAGTGTGAAAAATGGTCGTAAGTCACTCTTTTCAGTGCCGTTGTAACTTCAAATGGTCACTGATGAACTGCTGTAAGCTAAGGACTGCCTGTACATGGGTTATCAGTGCCGAAATTTTGATCAGGTGGCCCTGGGGATGCTGCAACCATTGTGAGCATGAAAACTGGTTGTAGGTCATTTTTCAGTGCTGTTGTAACTTCGAACAGTTACTAAATGAATGGCTGCAAGTCAAGGACCACCTGTACTTGTATATTTAGAGTTGTAGATTTTGAAAAACAATTTATTTAGGAAGAAAGCCTATTGGCAATGGGTGCAACAATATGAGGACATGCAACTTTAAAGGGAAAGGCATCTTCCATCTTTTTTTGTTGAAAGAGATATTGTGCCTCATTAAGCTTTGCAAATCATAAGAGCAAATCAGAACAAATCAATCAAAACTCCCATTTGTTCAAACAATTAACTGCATACATTGTAAGAACAGAACTTCTCTGCTCAAACTCTTCTTATTCATTGATAGCCTTGAGAAGCGTCATCTTGGCCATCTAAAAACCAAAAGGAAATAGTTATGAAGCCCAAATGAACAATTCATTCTAATAAGAGAGAACCTCTCCCGTCATCATTTACATGGGAAATAACAAAAACAACAACAATACAGACAATCCTGTTTTAGCAACCACAATTGGGATAAATCTTCCATCATACAACTGGCTCATAGGTGACCATTCACTCCTCAAAGACTTTCAGAAACAGTTATGGGTTCATTTTCAGTCTGTTTCATTCCACGTAGCTCTGAACAGCCTCCATTTACTAGGTCAAGATTCTGATAGCATGTGCAGCTTGGTCCAGGATAAAGATGTACAGATGAGTATCATCAGAGCATTGATGATAACTCACCTGAATCAACAGATGGCTTCTCCCAGTGGCTTTATACAAATGTTAAAGTGGGCTTTTTCATCCCTTATCCCTTTTCTTCAATTACTTACCGAGGAGCAAACTGGAATTGTCCCCTCAAGGATTGGTGTCTTGGTCTATATTGTGAACCTGAGGTGTGGGAACAGATTAACTTATAACATGCGCAAAAAATGAAGAAACAGTAGCAATAGCAATAGCACTTAGACTTATATACCGCTTCATCAGCATATTGCCCCCAACAATCTGGCTCCTCATTTTACCAATCTCGGAAGGATGGAAGGCTGAGTCAACCTTGAGCCTGATGAGATTCAAATTGCCAAATTGCAGGCAGCCGGCAGTCAGCAGAAGTAGCTGCAGTACTGCATTCTAACCACTGTGTCACCGTGGCTCATATTGAAGAAATATTGTTATTGATAGAAATATTTGGTATTCTTCAAATATGGAAGAAATGAAGAAATATTCTAAAGAATATTGCAAATACTGTTTATTTCTTTTAGGAAGTGATAGTCCCTCAAAATGCTCAGAGTTCTTGATCCATCTCCATGCAATCTTTCTGTTTCAGTCCTTGCTATTTTAACTCATATGTAACTGAAGGCCTTCTCATCAATCACAAAACATTTCAGTATTATAATGACATGAGTGGGAAAAAGACCCTGGAAGGACAGATTGTAGATTTTACCATGGATCCTGTGATCAATAGTCTGAGAAAAGAATGTTCATTTTTACAGAGGGGAGAAGAGAGAGAAAAAGATTGAGGAAGTAACATAACAAACAATGAAGCCAATATTCCACATATAGTTTCTCTGTTACCTATCAAGTCTCTAGACCAGGAGTCGCCAACCCCGGTCTATGGACCAGCACCAAAGCATGCCAGAAACCGGGCTGCACAAACTAGTGAAGCCCTATCCGTGGGATGTAGGCAGCATGCAAAACCATGCCCCCTCCAGTCCATGGAAAAACCTCTCTCTATGGAACTGGTCCTTGTTGCCCAAAAGGTTGAGAGCCACTGCTTTAGATCAGGGGTCTCCAACCTTGTCAACTTTAAGCCAGAATTCTGGGAGTTGAAGTCTTCCAGGCTTAAAGTTGACAAGGTTGGAGACCCCTGATCTAGCTCACCCTTCTCCATTCTGGCACTGCAACTCTTGGAATCAGCCATCAGCATGGCCTTTGTTTCAAAAAGTAAGATAAATGTCTATCGAAAATATTGCAGAGGGATAATCTTTTCTTCAAAATTATTTGACTGTGGTAAAGTAGTTGGGAAGTCCCAGATGACTTCTACTACTCTTCCAAGGAGCTTGAAGGCAGATTAAGCTAAAAAGTGATAACCGTTAAAAAGCCTTCCTAAATGTTACTATTAAAAAAAATCTTTTCACTAATATCGTTTTTCAGCCCATAAAGCAGCTAAGAAGTGCTAGTGAGAGAGACTTGATCAAACTGTGGTTTAAAATGGTAAATCACACTTTTGTCATTTCAGCTGATAAATTAACAGATGCTCTAAGCTTGATGTTTTAAGAGGACTAATAATATAAGGCTGCCAACTACAGACAATTACAAAGCCAAATTGCAGACAATTAAGTGTGATATTTTAATTGTCCCATTGAAAAACTGAAGAAAACTCAAGCTTGAAAGTGGGAACCGCCTTTATTGCAATTCAGAGCTCATTTTCAAGTATGTCCAAGAACCATTCAATAGAGATTCTGGACAAAAGCTTTACTGCACTGAGGAACAAATTAGGACAAGAGAACACAGGCAATTGGTGGGCTGGCTAGTGAAATTCCTTAAGAATTTGATACAAAACAAACACAGAACATCTTTGCTTAAATAGGGAAATCCTGCTGATATGTGAGAAAGAAAGATGTGGTGGAATAAAATAACTTTGCTTTGATGCGGTTATTTCTTTTTCTTAGAAAAGTTAGCTTTGTCTTATAATTAAAATAAGCCCTCTTCTTGTTTACTCAATATTTTCATTGTATAAAAATCAACTGACCATTCTCAGGGGTTATGATCAAGACCTTGACTCATACTTTAACTTAAAAAAAAAAAGGTGTGAGTAAATAATTTCAAAAATTGTAGCTTGGTATTTTTAGTTTTGTGTGATTTTGTTTTTACCTGAGGGCTGAAATTCAGAGAAGGAACCAGTTGGTTGAGGCTCTCTCCACTGGCTTTCCCTGCCCTGGGGCTGATAAGAATGAGATGGATTTCTACTCAGAAGCTTCCGGTGAGAACTTCTTCCCCTTCCATGCTTCCCTAAAGAAAATATTGGACAGTGATAATACCCCGAAGAAAAAGTCTCCCCATATTTATACTGTATTTAAAATGAAGTTTCTATGGACGAAAACAGCATCCTGTTTTTAAGCTAGAATGGAAAAAAATATGGAACATGTAACTACCAGCTCTTTAAATTATAGAAGCAACAGAGGTGAGATTATGCACATGTATCAAGCAAGTTAAGATTTTATCAATTTCTTGAATAAGCAAGATTTGGTATACTCTGCATGCTGTCCTACATGAAGAATGTATATCTCTTTCTGAAAGAACACATTCTCCCATATCCATGGAGCACATTTGTTCTTTTGCATGGAATTCAATTTACACAGGAAATCAAATACGGCATTTATTTCCAATTTGCTTCTCCCATGACTACTCAATTTTTATAACAAATGTTGTTGGACTACAGCGCATCAACATTTTATCTGCCAAGCTTTGATTCATTGGAACTTAAGTCTTGGCAAAGGGGGTTATATTCTCATGAGTCACATGCAGTGGATTTTCTGAAGAATTCAGGTAGCACCTACTTATCATGAAGCTGCTTGGCCTTGGTCTGCTCTGGATTTTCCTCCCGTTTGCTGAGCTGGCTTTGCAAATAAGGTCCAATAGATTATGAAACTTTGTGCATCGTAACTCCTGTAGGTGAAATAATATTGAATAACTCTGAGAAATTTTCACTTGAGTCAAATTAACATGAAATCATTAAACTTTGGTTCAGATGTTAAAGATAAAAGTATGTGCTAGTTACCAGTCCAGCCCTAGTCCAGCCAAAGAAAAGGGCAAAATATGGTTAGATCAGGCTTTCTAAAAGTTGACAATTTTTTAAGATGGGTGGATTTCAACTCCCAGAATTCCCCAGCCAACATGGGGAATTTTTACCCATCTTAAAAGTTCCCAAGTTTGAGAAACACTGGATTAGACTAAAGCAGTGTCTACTTTCCTCTTCCTGTGTTCTGTATATCCAATTCAAGGTACGGCTTCATTTAAAAAAATAGCTTATGGTCTAATTATGATATCAGATCTGCCATCCTCAGCATATTTCGCTTCACTGGCATCCTGCCATAAAATGCAGGGAGGGGGGAGATAGAAGGTAGAAAGGGGGATGACAGGGGATGATGACAGGAACCAGAGGTGTTAATCCAGAACAGATTGGCCAATGAGGGATGGAGCCATGGGAATGGAATGCGAAGCTCCACCAAAGAGGCACCAAATCTCAAAGCCGTTTCCAAAATATCTAATTTGAATATCATTGGACACTGATGGACTGGTCAAGGGGGGAGGGCCAGGGAAGAGGAGGAAATGCCGGCTTTGCATGGGAATATTGAGATCCAGCTTATGCTGTAACTGCTTGACTTTAGGAAAAAGTAAACCTTGAGCTTAAAAGTGGAGTAGAGACTCTTTCTTTCCTAAATGCTCAAGTGGGCACAAAACCTGACAGAATGAATCAAAACTCAACTGTCTTTTAATCTTCACCACGCACAGGGAAAAGACTGAAATGGTGAGCATGAATCTTAAATTCACTTATCAAATACTGAATCATGATTTTGAACTATGCATAAACCAGCCTCTGGTCTGGTATCTTGAAAGGCTAGTTTTAACTTAGCAAAGGCTGGGCTTTTTTTAACCAAAGAGTTACTTCAGATAGAAGTGTTCATTTTTATGAAACACCTTGAAATATCAACATATCAGCTCTTCAGTGGACAGTTATCTTTGCATCAACATTTCAACATTTATATAGTCCAGTGTTTCTCGATCTCAGCCACTTTAAGATCTCCAGACTTCAATTCCTAGAATTCTAAGAGCTGAAGTCCAAACATTTTATAGTTGCCATGGTGATCTAGTCCATTCTTTATAAACATAGAGTGCTTTTTGAAGTATCTGAAGAGAATACAAATATTCCATGACTGTACAGCAGTTCTAAAATTAATAACCTGATTAGTAATGCTTAGAGAAGATTGTGACAAACTTTTGTCCCACCAAATTAATAATGTCACCTCTAATTATGATTAAAGCTGAGGTCCATTTCTCCACATCAAACAAATATTACTATCAACCTGAAGCCATATTGGAAGCCATCTTCAGGGCTGCCATAGTGAGGCTGGTTGAAGCTGTAGTAATGGGAGGGGGAAAATAAAGATAGCTGGGGGGGATGTGTAGCCAAAATAAAATTCTTTCTTCTGGAAACCAAGGATGTTCTCACCAGGTGCGGGGAAGGCATGGACTGAAGCCAGCTGAAGTTGGGACTGTGACCTGGTTGGACCATGTGATGGACGTGTGACCTGGGGGCATGGACTTTGGGTTTTAATTTGGAAAACCTCGGGTCCTTCAGAGTTGGGTTTTCACCAGCTGTGCCAATATGACATTCCTAATAAATTCATACTCTGAGAAACTCCAGGCCTCAGAATTTTGATTGTGTTGGGCTTGTTACTTGGAACCCTGACGGTTAGTCAGGAAACTCTGGGAGGCTTCAGAGGCTAAATGTCATATATACATCATACATATATACATGTTTCATTCATCTTTTTAAGTACAAAAAGGTTTTCTCAAGACTGTATACTTGCATTGTGTTCTAGGAGCTGATATAAAGGGCATCCTCTATGGGCTTGGTGGTATTTCTCTTGAAAAAGTTTTCCATCAAATACGTGCCATGGCATCAAATCATCCATTTGAAAGGGGAAACCGCAGGCACTATTGGCCATCAGCAACACGCCAAGGCCCCGGACAAAGAGAGAACCAAGCTGTACTGCTCTTGAATCAATTTGGGCAAGCTGTTAAAAAGAGAAAGGGAAAGCAGCAATTATTGGCATTTAATACGGTTCCTGTAGGTAAGAATGGTAGAATTTTATATTTTAATGCAATACATTCTAATCTTGATGGCTTGGCATGAATGAAAAATGCAATAGTTCAATGTTTTGCAACAAGATTTTCCGGGCCTGTTTTTCCATCACTGGGGGACTCATCAAGCAGATCATCGACAAGAAAGGACGCCCAGAAGGCCACCGCATAGCCTTCCCGGCCTCCTTTTTCATCACTGGAGGCCTCGTCAAGCCTTTTGCTGATGAGAAGGGAGGAAGCAGGCAAAGAAACAGGCTGGAGAGGA